TACGCAATATCAAGTCTATTATATGCATCATCAAAAGCTTAGTTTCGTTTTGTCCACTCCTCTCTTTGCAAGAATTTCTGGCTTTCCCATAATAATATTATGTTTTAGAAGTATTTATCTCAACCCACCACTCAAAATTATATTTCTTTTGCTTTACATTTTGTACTTTCTCACTCTATTATTAAATCATCTCTTACATATGAGTTATTTTAGAATCTCCTAAAACACCTAAAAAATCTATATAGGTCTTCTTATGTCACAATGTTTCCTTTCTTACCCATCTCAAGTTTGAAGTTTGGCTCAAATTTGGAAGTTGAGCAGCGTTGATTCTTATTAGCATTTTTTTATCGAGTTTGGCTATGTGATGGCCATTATTTATTCATTCTTTGCATGAATGGTGTGATAATTCTTGATGGAAGCTCCACATTTAGTGGTCATTTATTTTATGTTTATAAATTTATGCTTACTTTATCTGGTGAAAAAAGAAAACGTAGGTGAATTTGCATCTTTAAAGTTATTGTTTTTATATTTATATGGGATATGGATTTAAAGATATTGTTGCAAGTACTTACATTTTTTTAAGGTTTATCTGCATTCACTTTCATTTCACCTGTGCTATCTCACTTTTTTTCTCTTTGATGAAGTGGTAATTCTATCTTCAGAATTTTTTTTGCTGTCCCAATTCATTCCAAAATCTTTTGCTTCCTGTGGGTATCAATTTATTCAATTTCAGTAATTTAGTGTGATTCTTTGAAAAATATAAACAATTTTTTTTTTATGTTGTCAATGTAATGGAAGGCTTTTTAAACTTGGTTAATCTATTATTATCTTAAACAATTAAGTGCATTTGGTGGTTCTAGGGCAAGGTAAAACAAATTGTGGGTTCCACACTTCAGGATGCAGCTGTAAAGGACACTCTTATAACCAATTTTGAATCTGACAAGTCTCCAGCGGAGTTTGCAAATTTGTACAAGCAGGATGGACTAAGAGGTGGGCATGTAATAATGCTTGATGGTGATGAAACGAGCAAATCTGCAGCCACAGAGGCCTTACATGCCTACCCTGGTAACGACCCCACTCTCCCTTTCCACGCGTTTGTTAAGTATCATGTGTTGATTCACCTTTTTGGATTTGATAATATTTATAAAAAGCAGCATATTGAAATCTCATTTCATTTTGCTTAAAGGCTATTAAATCTGAATAGAGTTAAAGAAAATTTTGTATTTATTTATTTATTTATGATATTCTTCTTTAAATATTGTGAAAAACTGAGTATTTACATCTGATTCGTTTTTTTTCCTGGGCCGTTGACAGTAAATGTTCTGAAGAATTTATAAGCTTTTGTACCTTTACTGCTGAGAATGCAACACGTCAAGAAGATTATCCTATAGATAAAATATGATTTATTTATAAGCAAAAGTTTGGGATTTAGAAAAATATACTTGAGTCAAAGTTATTCTTACATAGAAATTGGCTTGAACATAAAAAAAATGAATCATCCATTTGAAAGCCTTTTTACCTCAAGATAATGTCTTTCATTTGTCTATCATTCATGCAAGTTTATACCCTTGAGCTAGGCTTCTTGGTCATGAACATTTCATTTGATGCTATGAAATCTTTGAGGCTAGAGATCCAATATAATTATTTTGTGCTGTGCAGTATTATACCGAGACAGTAAATTGATCAGAAAATTGAAACTAATGCATTAGGTTTGATATTGGACATTGTATTGCTTGGGAGTAAGCTTTTCATGAAACCTTTTCTTGTTTATATCATTTGCTAAGCTAGGTCTATGTTAGTTGATGGAGTAGTGTTAGGGAAAATCCAAATATTATTTTAATGAAATGGCCACCAAGCGCATCATGTGGAGAAGACCACAAAAGCCTTATCGAACAAGATCAACTAACTTTATATTTCATTCCAGCACCAAGGTATTTGTGGAAGTTCAAATCATAAAATTTAACAAAATGAGAAGGTACCCCTTAATACAATACATAAAGTGTGGGTTTGAATGTATTCTCTTCTTTTTCCTTTTTCTGATTTCTAATCTTCTATAATTTATAAAGTTAAGATTGTATTTCAACTTATGCATCATTTAAAGGCCTAAATTTAGGAGTCTTCATGGAGAAGCCACTTCAATTCCATTTTAAATCCTAAATAATACTTTTTTTTATCAAGGAAATGTATTTGGCCCAATATTAAATCATAAGAATATATTAAAATAACATGAGCCCGCACCCGCACCCCCCACCCCACCCCAACCTTCCAAGAATTCTACCCAAAAATATTAAGCATTGATGGTATTGAAAAGAAATATAAAGTGCAATTATAACAAGCAAATATGTTGCGAAACTATGAAATGAAATATTAAAATACAAAAATACTAAAGGACAAAAATATAAAAAAAGTAAAAAAAGGATAAAAATATACGATAACTTCGATGGAAAGATAGTCGCTAAAATATCCTCAAGATAACTGAATTTAAATTGTCAACAAAATCATTGATTCTAAAGAGATAAGTAGTCGAATAAAGTGCTGGTTTTAGTGCATATCTCTTCTTCTTCCTTTTATAGAATTTTCATGTTCTATGATTTATGAATAAAAAATTATGTTACTGTTTAAAGAGCTGAATTTAGGAGTCATTATTGTGAAGCTACTTTAAATCCGTTTTATGTCTTCATGGAGAAGTTATTTCAGTTTTAATCTTTACCAATACCCCTTTTATCATGAAAAAATATTTCTCCAAATATAAAGTACAACTCATGAAGTCATATTAGAATAACATGAGTCGTCATATATCACTTGCTCTAATCTGCCTTTGGGTAATTCAATTAGATCTTTAAGTCCTCAAATGCATTATGACAGTGTTATCAAAGCGCAATGCACAATGCACAATGCAATGCACAAGGCTTTATTTCTTCTTCAAAGCACAGACACAGAGTGAAGCGGCGCTTTTATTAACCAAAGTGCTAATAGGTTATATAAAACTATTAATATTTAAGTAAAATTAATAATGTATAAATACAGTTAGTAACGATTATAAAATAGAATGTATGGCTTAAAAGTTGATATAAATAGAAAAGAATGTGATAAAATTTCTAAATTAAAGGCTAAAACGTTGAGGCTGAACCTACAAATTAAGATTTCGAACAATTTCTAATAGTTTATTGTAATAATTAAAAACTTAAAAATTGCAAAACAAACTCGCAAATTAACTTTAGCGTTTTGAAGCACGCTTTAGCAAAGCGAAGCGAGCATCGCACGCTTGGCTTTGCTTTGCTCGTGAAGCGCACTTTTAACAACATTGCATTATGGGTCAATTCGGGATGAACTAGGTTAACCTAAACTAATTGGGTCAAACTAAAGCTGTATTGGACCATAATGAGTCATTGGATCATTATTGGATCAAGTCTATTTGACCAATAATGGGTGGTATTGGCTCAATTTGGCTAACCTAAATTTAGTAATTGCCCCGTCTTCCCTAGGCTAAATCTCTTGGGTCACTTGATTCTTGTGTTGGGCATTTGGTTTATTTGGATAATTAGCTAACCTCATTTGTTTTAGTTGTATAACTTTAACAATTGAACCGAACACACTATTTTTCAAACAAGTTAAACCTAATTGAATTTTATTTTGGTTAATTTGGTTTGGTTTTGGAAGAACCATCATATAATTAACTTCAACAATGAATTTAATTATCTTTAGCTTAGATATATTAATAAGAAACTTAGTAATCTTTGTTAAAAATTGATAATTTTGGCATGTCGAATAAATAATATTTGCGTTGATCTTTATGTCTTTTATTTATTTATATGGTTTTATGGATTTAATATTTGAAGAATTATTATAATTCAGTTTTTGGTTTGTTCGGTTTATAAAAGCTAAAAGCCCAACCAATAAAACCAAAAAGCAAAGTCAAAATAACAACTTGTACCAAAATAATATTTACTAATATATTAACAGCCGAGTTAAACCAATTAAATAAGCTTTGGTTTGGCTTGGTTGACTTTATCCAAATAGTGCACACCTCTAATAGGTCCTCTAATGTACCATGGGTCAAGTCATATGATGATGGTAAATAGCTGTCCATTAAGCAGGGAGGGTTGATTATAAACTAAAAGCTATGCACTTGTGTGTATTTATTTATAAATCAAGGTTCTATTTGTGCCTTATTAGATTCTTTCAGGGGGATTTTGTTTTTTGCATAGATTCAAGTTGTAGATCAAATTTTAGCTTGAGGTTCACAAATTTTGTCTCTAACATGTAATTTATATTTCTGCAGTACTTCGAAATTGGAATAAAGCTACGCATTAATTTTTTACCAACGAAATCTGTTGTGATATATTTCTCACTTTAATAGATATTTGTAATTGTTAGTGTTGGAAAATGTTTTGATGTTATCTTTTTCCATAGCTTATTCTACTGTATATATAAAATTTTGGGCTATTAAGTACGCTTATTGGTTCCTTATTTATTTTTATTTTACTTTGGTGGAGCTACAACTTATAGGTGGTATGCAAGTTGGTGGTGGTATCAATTCTGAAAATGCCCTCCATTATCTAGAGGAAGGAGCTAGCCATGTCATTGTTACATCAGTAAGAAGTTTTTTTTTATATTTTTTTGGGGTTAATTTATTCAACGTAGTACTGTCATTGCAATGCTCAATATCAGATATTGTTTTATGTTATTTTTATGCTACTTCTCCTTTGATTCCTCGCATTATTTTCATTTTTTTTTCTAGAGTTAGATTATCCTCACTTGAAGTGGTTCTAGTCCCATTGGTTATATAACTGATCACACTAGCTAAATGATTATTAAAGACAACTTTTTTCTTTATTGCAAGCTCCGAAATTGGTTCATTTCAAATCTGCTATCGTGAAAAGCCGTCTGTTTTGTAGCATGTTTTCAGGGATGGAAGAGTTGTTCTCGAGAGGCTCAAACAGCTTGTTCGTATTGTTGGCAAGCAGATGCTTGTCTTGGATCTTAGTTGCCGGAAAAAGGTACAACCAGATATATATATCACTTTGAAACTAGCTATTCAGTCTTAAACTAACATTTTTTGCATCATCAACTTGCACTTAGGCATTTTTAGTTGTAATGTTTCTAACTATCTTTGGCATTAGTTTGTGATTAATAAATTTCTGACAGTATTTTTCTTTTAACTTAAAAAGTGTGTTTAATGGTCGAATTCAATTTACAGCTTGCTTTAAGTACATGAACTGCATTTTCCATGAAATCAAATTGCTTAATAAATGCAATTATTGACACAGGATCAGTCTTTTTTTGTCATTCTTTCGGAACCTTGCACATTTGGCCTCAAAATTTGTGCTTTCACTTCAGCCTTTAGCAAGAAGACAAACATATATGTTGAAGGAGAGAGAAATAGAGAAACAAGTTGTGCCAAGTATAGGGCAAGTAGGCGTTATGTTAAAGCGCAAGACAAGTTCAATATGGCTGCTAGTTGTTGTTAACAATCCTGCAAGCACAAATATGCTATGTGCCGGCCTTACTTCTAACTTTGGTATTTCTCAAAGACACTGACTTAATCATTAAGAGCTACATCCTAATACAATATACTAAGATTAATCACAAAAGATGCCCATATTAAATTTTTTGAAGCCAAAGTTGTTGTCATCTTCTTAATTGTCAAGTGTCTGATAGGTTATGTTAAGAGATTGAGTGATTATTGAGGTGGTTTTGGACGAGCATCATCACCTGGCTTCTTAGTTAAGAGAAGAGGGAGTGTAGAACAATGAGGTTACCAAGAACATTAGTGAGTGTGACAGTGATAAGTATTGCGTCAGATGGATCTGGAGGGAGGGAATGGTGATAACAGGGGGTAGAATCATTGGAATCATTCACGATTGGAAGAGAAATAAGCACTTGTTTTTGTGGCACGTCTAATTGAAGAGAAATGAGGAGAGAACCATGGCCATTTTCTAACCAAAAAAAAAAAAAAAAAGACTATTATATGAAAGTTACAAACTATTAGGAAAAAAGTAGTTTTATTAGTACAAGCATAAAATTTTGTATAATATATTTGTGTTCATGTATAAAATCAGTACTCCATGGAAAGTATGGAATGCCAAATCTCAACTTTACTGATGGGATGAAATGATCTGGACATTTTTTGTTTTTATTCTCTGTATTATAATTGTGCAAGGTGAATAAGTGGACCACTCCCTATGCTCTATTTTTTTGATTTAATGAAAGCAGAGAAATAAATTAAACATATTGAATTTACATCCATAGCTGCCTTGGTCAAGTTATCCAAGTCACCGTTAGTGTCTAAGTTGTGTTATGTAAATTGCAAGACTTAAATTTGCTCAATCTACTTTCTCTTCTCAAGAATTCATCTTTTTTGGTTCCGAATTTTCCTGGACTCTTTGCAACTTGTGGAAGAACTCTTGAAAACTGGCCATGTAGTTTCTGGCGCCTATGTGCTGATGCTTAGGTGTCAGGCTCTCTGTCTGCCAATCTGGTGTGGGCTCCTAGTTGCCCACACTCAAGAATATGGCGCCAAGGGGCTGGGGTAGTGGGGCCAAGGTGCCCACTGCGTGCCAGCCTCTCGGGTTCCTAGGTTGGGACTGACGCCTAAGCGCACAAAATTCTTGCGCCAAGGAGCCAGTCACTTGGGTCTTCTTTAGCTCCAAGTAACATTCTCTTTGGTCAATTTCTTTTCCACTTTGCTTCACTTCTAATACTCGTTGTACCTGCAAGAAAAACATAAAAATATCTTTATTTAATGTGCAATTTCATCTATAAAAATATGGAAAATATAAAGGAAATTAATCAACCTTTTCTAGACATCAGTAGTCATAGTAATTTGTCGAAGTGGGAGTTACTTTTTTTGCATTACTTTCTCCATCATCTTCCACGTAGTGATCTTTTCACCGCCTTCCCTCTTCCTTTTCCTCTGAACATTTTCCTACCGTAGAGAAGCGCTCTTCTTCAGCTTAATTGCGGATAGCTTGACCAATTTATCTTCTGGTACATATTTGTATTCAAAAGTCTGTTCAATTGATTGCAACTAGTCAATATACTCCTCAGGATCCATGCTTCATTCGAATTCATGGAGATTCATCTTCATGTCATAGTCCTTCTGACCTCCATAATGGGAGAAATATTTGCATACGTCAGATAAGTTACAGGGAGGAGATTGAGGATTATATCCGCGTTATACCCCTTGTAACCTCCCTGTAACCTATCGATAACCTATCTGTAACTTAGAAATACATGAAAACAGAAGCGAAAAACTTACTAGTTACAGGTAGGTTACAGGGGGTATAACGCAGATATAACGCCCAATACCCTCCCTGTAACCTACCAGACGTACGCAGCTTTGCGTACGTCTTACGTACGCAAATATTTCTCTTCTCTCGGCCTCCTTTGGTATTGGATACCAAAATAGCGTGATTGATTTTCCTCGTCACCATGATCATTCTTGTGGAACTGATTAATCTCTTTGTTCCTGTCCTCTTTGACTCTCTCGATTAGGGACGAATTAACCTCTTATTGGTTTCCGTCATCTAGGTATGCTATTCTCTGTTATAGCTGACGAATTGCTCGCTGAATCTCTTCCCTGGTCGAGTCCGGTGTACCTCTTCATGGTCGCATGGCTGGGTTGGGAATCAGAAGAAAACTTTGATGGAGGTGAATTAGGTAGGGGTGGATGTTGGGAAATTCTATGATAAGACTAAGGAATGAACCTGATTTAGATATTAAATGATATCAGAACTAGAAGGGAAAACAACGAAAAACATAAAAACAAACTTTCATTAATATTAAAATAGGATTATAACATTACTCGAATAGAAATAACAACACAAACACCAATGACACAAGTGAACACTCCTAAATGTATTCCAATGGGTGGTAGAGATCGGCAAGGTAGGTCGAATGGCTAGCGGGGGTGGTGACAGTCACAGAGTGCTGGTGGCAGCGAGGAGAAGGTGTGAAACTATAGGGACAACAAGCAGGAAAGATGTGGGTGGTTGGTAGCAATAGTGGGGTGGTTGGGAGTAGCTTGAATGTAGTTAGGAAGGTGGGATAAAAGTAGTAATCTGTAGGAAAGTGGAATGGTTTGGTATCGGGGTTATGGAGGAAGAGTTCGACAATTGAGGAGTGGAGAGGAGAGGGTTTAGGGAAGGTAGAAGGGAAAGATGCAATCACTACCTCGGTGAAGGACACAACCAGAGCACTACCATCTCCTCGGATATAACCCACAAAGGGGAAATTGACACCACTCACGAGATTTGAAGACAACACAATCTGAACTGACTCCTTATATACTTAGGACAACAATTTATGAGCTTCCTTCAGATGCAGGAAACTTCTAGACAAAGGAAGAGAGTAAGAAGCCTAGAGAAATCTAGAAATCACTCGCTAGAACAGTAGATTCGTGATGCCCCAAGTTGGATCTCAGTAGATCCATCCATTCTTCACTCAGGATCTCCTGCTCTTGTGAAACCTTGCAAGAAATCGTGATTCAGCTCCTACTTCTGCGTCGCTTCCGCTTCTGAAATGCTAGGTTGGCTGGCTGATCCAGACTTTCTATATAGATAGAAGTAAAATGCGATGTATGCGATTAATTTTCTTAATAGATATTCTTAATTTGCAACGACTGCTAAAAATTTGATCGAAAGCAAATGCTAGATAAATTTTTCACTATGAAGCAAATAAGAACGCAGTTATAATATTTTAATATGCGATACTACGCAAGTATACGTATCGTTATCAAGTAATGTAAAATTTTTCTGATTAAGTCACGAATATCGAACCCATGGGAATGATTAGTTTTAGATGACAAAATATTTAGTAATTTATATTCTTACTCAAACTTAAGATGCTAAATTAGGAATGAAAGTCCGATATTTTTTGTAATTTTTGTTTAATTTAAAAATAAAGTAAGCAACTAATTAACTTAACTAAAATACTTGCAAGATGAAGATAATATAAGTAAGATATATTTTTTCTTATCATGAATTAGTGATAAATATAGAAATTTAGTTGTGGAAGCATACAAAATGTGTTGTGCCAAATAATAGCAATAATATTGTTTACCCTTACTAGAGATGCTATAAAGAACATTGGTTAATCTATAGTTTGGATAGTCTTGAAGACCGGCTAGACATGAAATGTACTAACTCTCACTCTAGGGTACCGTCTTCTCCCCCCACTTGGGGGCTAACATCTCGTATAAAAAACTAAAACTATAAATTAAATTGGGGGCTTTAGCCTATTACTCTAAAATGCTCTAATTCTACACCCTTTAAAATATATTTTTCTATTTATTTGCACTCAAACCCATGAACTACATTCTCATTCATGAAATAAATATGTAATTCCAACAATTTGTTGACTGAGACAAAATCATCTCAGATCTTACATGTTCTCACAACAGATATTAACATCTTAATTGGTCAAATCAAGAAGTAAATGAAGTGCAATGTCTTGAATCTTCACATTGAATTCTAATACTTCACACAACTTCCTTTAAACATTTAATCACTTATCATTTTAAGGGAAAAGATAAAGAAATCTTCTTAGAATTCATGGAGAAAATACAACTGCACAGGAGTTTAAAAGTAGAAATCTTGTACACAAACAAGAAATCTAAATTAAAAACCAAGTGTAGTCATAAAGATAAACACTTATCTCAAATTATCTCCACAAAATGTCTTGAGGTTCCTTTGAATTCTCTTCCTTCTCTACACTACAAACTAATACTCAAAATAAAATAAAATAAAATAAAATAAAATAAAGATGGCCGGCGGCGGCAGCGGTAATGTGAGCTTTTTGGTTGGTGGTTGCTGTCCTCTTCTCCTGAATAATCTAAGTCTTTTCTTATAAAAATCCAATGGGTGTCTTGGTGTCTCTTCGAAAAGGTGTCTCCATTCAATGAATCTTCTAGAAGTTGTCTTTTCATAAGCCAATTGAATGAATTTTTGTATCTATAAGTTATTTACCATGTTTTTTATCAAGGGTTGCTTCAAACACC